CCCATTGTAACCGAAATAAAACAAGAGCACATGTCTGGGTAGTGTTTACACCGATTGGCTACAATATAGCACACAGATACGTCTCTGCCGCTGAAGCTTTGCGCCAGTGTTTCCATTTTCAGCAGCAAAGCTCGTACCTGTGTTCATGGCTCAGTGGGCTAAGCCTGTGTGCCTGTAATCACAGTCGCCGATTCAAACCCAGTGTATTTAGAATGTGAAAAGCGATCTTCAGCTGAGATGCCACAAAACTTCATACTACTACTAATAATTAAAATATATATAAAAACATTTTAAAACCGTTTAACTGATAGTAATATTCGGTCAAAATTAATTATTTCGGTTAACGGTTAAACGGTCAAAAGGAGCATCCCTATTACCCACTCAAACAGCAGATCTTCAGGAATTCTAGTGCCCTTAAGGCACTGATTCAAGAGCCCATCAGGGTATTTTGGACAGATTCCTTGAAGGGCGAGGATGCACCCTCTCAAATTAATATTCCAAGAAGTTAGTCTTAAAGCATGTCTTTATATGGGAAAAAATTATGTTGGAATGCTGTGGAGAGGGAATTGAGGGTTAATTAAGATCTACAACTGTACTTCATAAGAGTCTACATTTCCCATATGTTGAGATTTTTGTTATACAACACAGACTAGTGTTTTGGAGAGGGGGAGAGAGAGAGAAAAACAGTTGTTGCACAATTTCCTGCCTTCCTCAATACTCTTAGTACACCTGATTTACATCTTTCTATTAGAACTCCCTTTTCGCACATCTGTATCCACAACAATCTGGAGGTCCCTGTATTTACACAGTCTTACCAGAAGCTGGTTACATAGCAACACATTTAAAAAACACCTCCAAGATGCACCCAGCGACCCAGTTCCAAGACCTATTTTCAGCGGCTTTTGACATCTTACATTTCCCATTGAGGCTTTACGGTTTCAGGCAAGTGTTAAAGTTTACAGTGGACCCTGCCACATCCCTTAGGAGGCCGGTCTCTCTTACAGTGGACCCTGCCACATCCCTTAGGAGGCCAGTCTCTCTTACAGTGGACCCTGCCACATCCCTTAGGAGGCCAGTCTCTCTTACAGTGGACCCTGCCACATCCCTTAGGCCAGTCTCTCTTACAGTTTACCCTGCCTCATCCCTTAGGAGGCTGGTCTCTATCAGTCATGGGTCGAATGGGCAACAGGGACCACCTGGCCCTCCTACCATAGATGTGCACATCCCCATACAATCCTCTGGGCCTCTAGGCCAGTTAGCCAATATTGGCCCAGCAGTGACAGACCCCCTTCAGCTGCCCACCATAATTTTGAGCTGCATTTTATCTATGGCTTTGTTTTAGCCAAAATGCAGAACATTCAGACCACAAGGGCCATGCAGATGTAATGGAAGCACAAAGTGAAACTGATGATCTAATTTGGCACTTTTCCAGTTTCCCTTCCACAGTGGGGTCTCAAAAACTCAAAATGCTGCTCCCAAAAATGGGGATGTTAATTTCAGCCTCGTCAATTGGTTAAAGAATGGACTGTGATCCATAGGCTGTACAAGTACTGGGGTGGGTGACGGTGGTGGTGGTGTCCAGTACATTCCAATAGAACATTAGGCATTTATACTTCTGGGTAATTTTGTAAGTGTGGGCCAATATTGCCATTGTAACTACAGCCTATTGCCTAAACCAAAAACCCCAAGTGAGAGCATCAGCTTTAAGTACAACCGAACTTCCACTACATGCTAAGAGACACCTGGATGTCTAACAACGGCATGACCCTGCCAGAGACATCGGAGATGAATTCCAGAACACAAAGCTTGCATCCTCTTCCCAAACCTCAGTTCCAATGCAGCCAACCTCAGCAGCCAGAATAGCAGACCACCAAGAAACAGGACTGAGACAGCATGTTCTTGCTTTGTGGTAAATCCTATGTTCACAGCAATGAGGTAAACGAACGAATGCCTTACCCAAAACTCAATGATTACCATAGCTACTGTCTCCCTGTGAAGACAAACTTACTGTTGCCCCATCTCATCTCAAAAACACTAAATTGCAAAGGAAAAAAGTGGGTGTAGTAGGAGATGATGATGAACCAACGGGCCAAAACATTTAACTGCCAAGTCCTTATACACACTCAAGAAAAACATGTCAGATCAAAGAGGGGGAAAAAGGGGGAGCGACTTTGACGGCATATGATAATGATAATTATTGCTAGGAAGATATTCATGTTCACACTACATACCGTTCATAGCTTTACTGCACATTTTTTTATATTCAACACCATGAGTAACCATACCTGAAGTTAAGATTAAGTAATTCCATCTATCCATTTTCTGTACCCGTTTGTCCAATTCAGGTTTGTGGGGGTTTGGAGCCTATCCCAGAGGCTACGGGAGCAAGGCAGGGAACAACCCAGGATGGGGCGCCAACTCATCGCAGGGCACACACACACATGCATACCTATGGGGCAATTTGGTAACTTAACATGTTTTTGGACTGGGGGGTGAACCAGAGTACCTGAATAAAACCCCACGACGACACAGGGCATTCAAGTCTCCATGGCAGAGACTGAAACCCTAATGCCAGGTGTGAGAACGGTAACCACTGCACCACAGCATCACCCACAAAGCAATTCTAAAACTAATTCATTATATTGGCAACAAAAACATCTAAACCAGGCACTTGGTTTTGGTAACAATGCTCTGAAACAGGCTTGTTTCTGATGGCTCTACAGTTAGACATTCCGTTAAAAAACATTCGTATAGTGGGAAAAGTAAAAGTAGTTCTGTGAACAATCACTGAAGACCGCCACACTGAAGCAAGCTGGGAGGTGGGTTTAATTACTCATTGCGGGAAAAAGCAACCTGGCGTCGTTTCCAACGGTTACTAAGCCAAATCAGCAAAAACAGACTGAGCATAAGAGGACAACCAGCCCTGGCACCAAGAAGGACAAGTCGGCATGGGTGAGAAGCAATGATAGGAGCCACCTCACCTGCCACACCCCGACGATGGCGTTGGCTATGAGGATCAGCAGGATAACAAACGGCTCCACGAACGCCGTGATAGTCTTCTCGCCATCTTCGAAGCAGGCCAGCACCTGGGAGGACGGGAAAGCAAGCCTGCAGTTAGCACTGTGTCTCACACACCAAAGACCACACACAGAATTAAAAAGGACATAACATCAAAATTAAAGTTATCTAATGGAAATATTAACTGTGAATTGAGCCCTGCAACAGGTAAGTCTATGCATCCAGTCCACAGAGCGGAACCAGTACAAGGTAAGCGCGAGTGTTTCGCTCACATTTGCGGCTAAAATAGACCTGCGATAGAAATGTATTTACGGGCATGTGTGAATAAAAAAGTATAACAAGATTCAGCCCAAGCAGCCCCTATTTTTCCAAAAACAAAAACACTGATAACACAACAGCAGTGAAAATGATGCTGTCGTAGTTTAATTAACATGGAGCTGGAGCCTGTCTACACACTAAGAGAAAAGAGACGGTTCCGTTACAGAGATGGTGAACTCAGGTGGAGTGAAGGAAAACAACAGCAGTGCTTGTGATCGCTACTAAAGGTTTACTGGTAAAGAGCTGGCGAGAGTCATTAATCAAACCAGCTGTTCAACAAGCTGAAAGGTGAAAAGTGACGTTTTCAGCTGCTCCCATCCACTGCCGTTTCTCTTCCACAGCAGCAAGGCTACAGTAAAGCTATACAAGTTAAAATAGAAGCTGTTTGTATGCAGATAAACTGTTAGCTTAGTTTGACACAATATTTAAATTTGGTAACTTGCAGCAGGCTGACAGCAGCCGTCACACTTTGTCACAGTGATACCTGCAGCATGCAGGGGTGAGTCTAACGGGGAGCGTGGGGTGTACTCAACTACATCTATTTCAAGGCTAATAATATTATTTTGCAGATTTAGATTAATATGAATAATATTACATAATATAAATATTATATAAAAATTAGCCACCCCCCTCCCCCAACAGCCTTGGGCCAGTAAAAAACTTTGAGACACTGAATTATCCAACCGCCACATGCTCCTTTAAAGGCTCACACACACACACACTCATTCTCTAACACACACACACACTCACCTTCACTTACACACACACATTCTGTAACACACACACACACACACACACACACACACACACACACCTTCACTTACACACACACATGAACATGCACACACCATTCCTACCTCATCCAGGAGATACAATCCTGTCAGAACTTTTTTTATGCCTCCTATAAATGTACAAGAATAGAGAGTAAAGGCCATTTTAATTTATGCCTTAGTTTAAGATATATGTATACCTTTTTTCAGTAATTTTATGACATTATTTTACTTATTTTTGCATTTAAGAAAACCAAATATTACATAAATGCACCAAAAAGGGTTTAGTTCTTTTGCCATTTGTATGGAGTTCAATCATTAAAAATCCTAAAAAGGAAACCCATGAGTTGTTCATTTTAAGAGACCTGTCTATCTTTTTCTTTTTTGAAGTTACTGTTGCTCTTTAATAAGACAAAAGTATTTCTTATCCGATTACTTGATTGATGGAATAATCGATAGAATACTCGATTACTAAAATAAATCGATAGCTGCAGCCCTAGACACAAAACTACCAGGCCTCATTTCACGACATTTGCATTTCAGAGCCAGCGATGTGTGTGTGTGTGTGTGTGTGTGAGAGAGAGACACACACTGCGTGCACCCAAACCGAATTCTGCTCAGCAATGTCAAATGTGTGGGGGAGGGGGTGGATCTCACATTAGTCCCTATTAGGACATGAGCAGTCGCCGAAAATCCAGTCACTCAGAAGTCACTGTGGTAAACACAAGTTCCCAGCTGTAAAGACCATGTCGGTAGGTAGTGTGCTGCCCCACTCGACAACCAGCAAGCATGTTCATCATGGAAACATCTCATGTCAAAAGCTCCCTTTTGACGACGAAACGTATCTGTCCCAGCAGCAAGACTGCCTCACAACGCGAGCGACATCAGTCTCCCTTTCCAAAAAGGGTGTGTAAATTTTGTCGTTCCAAGTGATTTTTTTACACGTCCAGGCACGTCAGAGTACGATACGAATCCTCAAGTGCCAGCGAGATTCACACCACACCCTCAGATCCAGGAGTCTCCTCTGCAATTCCCTCACCATTCCAGCGCTACCTTGAGACCAACCTGGGGCAAAGATGAACCACAAAGCACACTCATCTCAAACAGCAGAGCAACAGGTATACAGCTGTAGTGTTGTTCGGCTATAATGGACATGCAGTTCGACCTACAAGGCGTGTGGCGTGCCGATGATATCCACCGTAGATACGTACGTAGTCGGGATTATTAATAGACACGCATCTGGTCAGGTATAATCTATACCACAAGTCTGTCTGCTGAGGTGTGGCATGAGGAAATGGTGTCCTGTAGTTGTGTTCTGGGCATACAGCAACTCTGGATATAACTAACTGTTCTGCCAGGTCCCTTGAAGTCCGTTATAACTGGATTGTACTGTAATAACATTTCCTCAGGCAATCACAGATCACTTACCATGCCCTGAAGGTGAGAATCTTTAGAGGAACAACGAATGCCACCTTACTGGCCCCTCCCCACCTCCTCTGACTGAATAACGGCCATGTCGAGCTGACAAACCACCATAAAACTCGCATCACTGGACTTTGAATCCTGCATGACCTACACCATGAGAGTCTCGCTTCCTTTCATTTATTTATTTTTCACGTTTCAAGACTAGTCAAACCACGACATCCACATTCCCAGGAACCCAAAAAAAACAAACAAAGAGAAAGCAGCACAAGACATCAACAATGACAACTGGTCACACCCAAAACAACTATCAAGTCTTTAAAAGCCACCTGAATCACAGTAAGTCAGCTTCTATCCCAAGAAACCGAGTGTGAAAAGAAGTTACTCTGGGCAGGGTGATCAAAGGCAACACTGACTCACCACTTCAACTGAACAGCACAACTGGGGATTAAATTGGGGGAGGGTACCCAAATCATCCCCGTTGGACACCCCTTAAGAACACACAGACCCAGAACTAAGAGACTGACAAGCTGGGAGGCACCCATTCACAAGAACTACACATTAAAGCCAGAGTAATCAAGGTCTATAACAGACAGCAACATCAGGGGATGAATACAAGAGCTGGATGCTACCACTATGCGATCTGCCAACTATGATAAGACCAAGGTGTCAACCCATTCATCCGTTACTGCCTGTTATAGACTTTTAGCCACAACTGACAGTCCTGGGAGAAGCAGATGAAGTTAACATAGGTCAGATCGAACCGTGTCACACGTAGATGCAAGCAAAAAAAATCCAAGACATTAATACTAAAAACATTGGGAAGTGCAGTAGAAGCAGTGTGAAAGAGTCATGCACTGGTCGGAACCATGCACCAGACTAACAAAACACTCAACCAACAACTGATGAAGAAAATGAGGCTTTAAAGAAGAGCGTAAACAATATTACTGTAAACGGTCATTGAGCCCCTGCTTGTCAGGGGGACAAATTAACCAACGATAAACTGAAGTCTCATTTCACTGATCACCTCTCACCATGAAAGAGGCTCCTCACAGTCTCTCATACTTGTACGACTTGAAGAGGTATCTATAGCCCTACTGCAGATACAGGTCTGCAAGGCCAACATGGGCACCTACAACTGTTGGGAGGTGGCCGTGTCATGGCCATTATCAAAAAGGTACTTCCTGCGTGCCAGTGGCCCATAATGGGATAAACAAAGTTGTGACAAGGTGAGAAAAAGGAGGGATCAAGGCCACCAGTGTCACTTGCAAGCATGACATGCAACTGCTGGGGACAGTGTGTGGCTCAGCCTCAGTACCTGTGATTGGAAGGTTGTCGGTTCGAGCCCCAGCAGACCAGTCATGTGCATGGGCTCTTGAGCGAGGCCCCTAAGCCCCAGCTACAGGGGTGCTGAACGCTGGCTAACCCTACGCTGTGACCCCAAAGTATGAACTCATTAGTTTTGGTTTTGCATGCCTAATGTAGATCAAGGTGGGGTAGGCCAAGATAATTTCCCTGTGGGAGTTAATAAAATTACTATTCAATTTTATATCGTTACCAAAAAAGCAAAAGGCCAGCGTGTGAGATCCCAGACACTCACTGTGTGGTCCTCTCCTTTTTCATGGGTTACATATCCCACCTCATCAACTACACAATAAGCAGTTCCAGCCTAGTTTACTCTTATACTAGTTTATTTTCCTTGATGCACTTGTCACTTCCATTACAGAGCTACCAGATTTTTTTTTTGGAACGACCGCACAGCTAAAAAGCTGATGACAGCAGCCCTCACATACCAGCGAACGACCCACCAAGCAGACTGATAAATGTTTTAAGCGCGTGCAAAGGCAAATGACAGGCGGTAATTCAATCACAGCTGTCACCACCATTCCGAGAGAGGCCGCCTGGCATTGACCCCCAATGGCCCCCCAACACACTCAAACGTAACCCAAGACGGTTCAACAGCATGTATGACAACATTCGTCTAGCCGAGCTAATCCAACCCCAGCTTCATCCTCAACCTAAGTGAAAACATTTGCCTTATTTCCTCCTAAACTGGACCAGTACATGTCAGTCTGGTCCATTTTCTCTGGGGAAACAGAGGCTAAACACTGCTTATTTTCATTAATTCCCACATTAAAGTGTGCTTATGTAATGAAACACAAACTGGCTAAAAAGCGAAACCTAGACTGGAATAATACTACAGGTTTCTGCCTCCAAGAGTAAATTATATATCAAAATGTTTGTAATAAGATATTCATAAAAACTGAAAAATACTGCACAATATCCTAAAAGGAAAACTATCAACCACACTTTGTCACTATGTGAGCAAAATGATACATAAAATTGAGAAAAAAAATGAAGTCTGCACAGAATGCCCAATACGACATAATGACAATCATTATTTCAACAGGGTCCTGCGCATCAGTTGCTACTCAAGTTAATGCATTACTCGTGTTTGTACTATAGGAAAGGATTCAGCCTGGGCAACTTCAGGTCATTTATAAAAGCAGAAAACAGGCGGATGTCATTCAGACCAGGGACACGGATAGGATCATACTTACGAAAGATATACAGGCTGCCAGGAGTAAAATACGGACTAACAAATCTTCAAACTGTTCAACGACGAGTTCCCATAAAGATTTCCCTGTAGAAGGAGCAAAGCGGCAGAACTGTCAGTCTGGGGGAGGGGGTGCATTTAAGATATACATCAATTAGCGTCATATTTATCGCTTACCCTCCTCGGCTGGCAGCTCTGCGGGCCAGAAGATCCAAAGAACATGCCAGAAACGAAAGAAACAGGCGGAAAAGTTAGAGAGCAAGCAACGGGCTGGGAATACTTAACAGGTTGCCATCGGCAGAAGGGTGTCGTTGTAGAAATTAGGTAATTTGCACGCGAGAGCTGCTGGAATGCAGAACTTTTTTTTTAATATAAAAAAAGCTACTTCTTGTAGTTTCCCAATCTTAAGGCGAGCTGTGGCACGCTGGTGTGCTTTCGCGATACGCGGCAAAATTACTGTAAAGAGCCACAACACGTAATCCCGGTCGGATTAAAGACCTTTTACTTTAGATGCGAGTGTCGTGTGCGCAACGGGGAAAAAGTGGGGTGCGTTGCAAAAGTGTCAGATTAGCGCCGCATTGCTCGGGCGACGTTGATCAATGTCACCCTGAGCGGCTTGGGGTGATAAGGCTGGGGAGGATGATCACAACCTGCTCAGTGAGCCGTGTTTCACGGACACAAGGTGGGCCGCAACCCCTCCTCCCCCACAATACTAACCCCATCGGTAAAATCAGATTAGCTACCTAAAACCACCGCCGTGTGTCCGGTATCTAACGCCACTTACAGATACTACGGAGCACACCTGACGTGTGTCGGGAGTGGTAACCAGGACGCCAGAGTCAGCTCACCGTAGCACCATAACAGTGTGAAACCTGAGAGGCCTATGCCGGCTTCCACAACCACGAAGCGGGTTAGCTCGAACCAAAAGAACAAAAAAAAAATCAGATATAACCCCCACTTCCAGACGAAGAGCTACAAATATCCCGATTAAATTTATTTCAAGATTTGTGTGCCCAGACACGGCAAAAGGCGATCCCCTCAGACCCACGAGGTTGCAACATAATGACGTAAGCACTTTTTCCCGTACTCTCCGGCATGCCGGCAGGTACCGTACCCCCGTGCCTTCCAAAACAACGAAAATAACCCATATGTTGATATTCATGGAAAGATTTCTCTCACCATTGGGCCCCCATTTTTCCTTTTGCCTCTTGACCTGCTCCGAGGCCAGACCCGTGCTCTCGTTGACGCTGAAATAGCTGTAAACCTCCTCCACGGTCTTTGTGTGAGCGTTCTCCATGGCGGACAGTCTTCACCCGGTACAGTTTCACTTTATGTCAGGGTTCCCCAACTCCTGCACTTTCAACTGGCGATCTTTCAGGTTTAAAATCCTCCCCGATAAGATTTTGTTAAATAACGGACAAATGCATTTAAAAAAACACTCCCGGCAGAAGGTGGCTGGCACGCTAGTGAAGAGAGAATCGTGGAGAATGAAGGTCCCGCCTCGATCTGTAGCCGGCTCTGTTAAGGATTACACAGAAATTAAATTATGTTTAAATTGCATATTTGTCACCAACGAACCAGGGTGGGTTCAGAAAGGCCGCTTTTCCGAGTGAAGAATCTGTCGCCCCCCACCACTCCGGGGAATTTTCAGCGCCGCTTGTGAGAGACCCGCCGTCAATGCCACTGGCTGCGCTGCGTTGCGGTTACGGTGGAACGGACGTGCGTCCTTCGCGTGCTCCTCCACTAGCGGCTCCCAGCTTCAGCGCCAATCGGCTTTCAGGGCCGCCCGGCCGGCCCCGCTCCTCGCGCAGCGGCTGCTGCTCGCATGTGGAGTGCGCTCATTGGCTGGAGCCAGCCCGGATATCTCCCCATTCCCTTCCTCTCTTTGGTCCTTTTGAAAAGACTGGGATCAGCTGATCGTCTTCGTTTCCCCATATATATTTTTTTTAAGAAACATGCATAAGGTTTATGAAAGTGTTACTCGTATCATCGTCTTCTTCTTCTTTATTATTATTATTACTATTATTATTATTAACAACAATAAGCACTATGTGCTTTGGACCCTTAAAGAAGAAGAAGAAATCTAATATGCAGGAGTGCATCTAACTTAGCCACAACATGTCAAAAGCAAGAGGCCAGATCATGTGAACTCAAATATTATTTTCGGTCTTCTTTTTTTTAAGTGTTCAGGGTAATTTATAACCGGCGAGTCGGCAATGCAACGTGTTGGGATCCGTATGTAGGTATAATTTTGTGTTTTTTTATGGTCGCATCTGTTGAGGATACAGTAGCTGTTATGGAAATTAGGCAGTAATCGAATCCCTTGGAAACAAACAGCATATGATATACCCATAATTTAAACCATATTCATTAAATAAAGTAAAACGTAAAAAATTCGCGCTGTCGCCTTCACTGCAAACAGTAACGTGTGCAGGTAAAATAGGGGGAAATTAGTGTTGTGATAGATACAATTTTTTAATGTGATTCGGTCAACACACTAAGCTGTCAGTGTTTCATTTGTGTTTTGGTTCAAGTGAAAACTGCGTTCTGGGCCAGTTCTGAGGAAGGACGTATCGAGCCAAGTAGGGGGTGGAGGGCAGCCAACATGTCATCGAAGGCGCAGTCAAGTGATTTTTAAAGTGTAAAAGGTTGGTAAAGGCTTGTGCTGCAGCTTCAGTGATAACCAAAAGATACAGACCCATGTAAAACAACTTTGCGTAATCGTGATTTGTAACGTAACCAAAAGATACACAATAAGCAGTTCCAGCCTGAGGTCTGCCAGAAGTTATGCAGACTAGATTTATATCTAAACACATACGATGTACAAAATACTGGAGCTTCTATATTAATTATGAAGAGAAACTTTAAATAGGAATTTATAATTTAGTCATTGCGTGATCAATCAGTGCAATATGCATTAGTATCCTATGGATAATATACCAGTGACATACAACTGAATGCATGGTCAGACAGTTCCTGGAGCAACTGTGGGTTTGGGGCCTTGCTTTGCTTGTTAAAATACATTTACTTATTTAGTAGAACCTGCAACCTTCTGATCACTAGCACAGCATCATAACCTGTCACACACCATCCATCAGTTACTGTATAAACTACAGTAACACCTGACACAACTAATACATAATTATTGCAATTCTACTACAGCTGCAGCTTCCAGTGCAATTTCTGTTAATGTCCAGTGACAGAAGAATTGAAATTACCCGGATGTGTTTTTCTAACACCAAAAAGCAAATGATCAATACCCACAGAAAAGCACTTAAAGAAAGAAAGAAAAACAAAGAATAAGAACAGGATGGATAAAATATAACAAAAAATAAAAATGATGCATATTGTACATCTAGAAAAGAAAATAACTAGCCAAATAAGAACATAAGAAATGTACAAACGAGAGGAGGCCATTCGGCCCATCAAGCTCGTTTGGGGTGATATACTCACTGACGAGGAGAATCCTGTAATGTAAATGGTGTGCCTAGAAACTGCTGAAATAGAGACATCGGAATGAGTCAGAATTGCATGCACGCAAAAAGGTGTATTCATCTCAAAAACATAACTAGATACAAGCGGACATTGGCAGCAAAATGGTGTTTACAGAAAGGGAGATTTAGATGGACCAAGCAAGAGGTGATTATGAGTCTGTTGTTTGTCAAGAACACATATTCCCTGCCAGATGGCAGATATCTATTATTACTGTTATTATTACAAGTAACGACATATTTATTCTTATTAAAGATTTATGTAGGAATTTTGTAGGTTGATAAGTGAGTTCAACCCATTCCATGCAACCAGTTTCATCTAAACACTAACTTGAAACATGATAAACATTTCAGCACTGTATTCCATTTAACAGTCATGCGCCCTCTAGTGTCTAGTATAAATATTCTTCACAACAGGTTGTCACAGGCCAGGGTCCAGCTTAAGTGCGACCCTGTACTGGAACAGGAAGATGGATATTGAAATAGTCAGATAATGTTAGGTAATGCTCGCATTAAATGTTACTGCTGTTGCATCTGAGGGAAATGCGTAAATTTTACTCTTATTTCCCTGCTTAGCTCTACATAAGTAAATTGGTACCTGTCGGGCCTTACTTTCTTAAACATACTGTATGTGTTGCTTCCTTGACAGCTGTATGTCTGTAATGGACTATTTGTCGCATGCGCGTGTCGTTTTGGGCGAAAGTCCTATATAAATAAATGAATATGAATGTATGTGTAGTGATGCTATGTCACACCAATGTCTGCTGTGGCCCTCTAATGAGTGGGAGGAGGTGGAGTTTGCACATTTTCCTGATGCCGTGGTTCCGTGCCCAGTCCCATAAGAACGTCTGCAGTGGTATGGATGTTTCAGGTGGCTCCTCTCTGGGCATCTCCAGGGGCAGATCTAAGGAGCAGCCATGGCCACCACCGGCAAATACGTGGTCACCCCTGTTGCCACCCCACCTCAAAATAATAAAAACAAATCATGGATTATTTTTTAAGATGAACCGTAGACGAGATGTGGTGGGGCATGGCCATCCTGATAAAAATCAGGACTTTCTGCTGATGCCACCCGGCACATGGGCAGAGTCTGGCAGACGTGTCACGGATCTAACTCCTGATAGCTTCGATACCACAATGAGTGTGAGTTATTGCGCTTAGAGAAGCGTCAATTGTCAATTGAATCCACACCAATTAATCTCCAAGAGCTTCACGCACTATTGAGTCACCGTCCATATTTAATTTCTTTGATTTCTGCAAAAAAATAGGAAAACAAAAATGCAAGACATCAGCCCCTCCTGTTATTCTTCGGCTCCGTGCTGCATTTGGAAAACGGTGAACTTTTCAAATCTACACCGAAGAGGCCACTTGTCCTCATTTCTGTTGCATTAGCACTGAAAGTGACAGTGACTGGTGGTGCACAAAATACAGCTCGACATCAACAGACACATGGTATAGAAATTAAGACCAACTCCACAGATTATTGATTCTTGAAAAAAAAAATGAGTTCGTGTAAAGCTGGGCATGCACCGAGCCGATGGCAAAACACGATCATCCGCAAGGACCGACGCTCATGTTGGCTGCGTCTATTGCGAAAATTTGCACTGGAACACATTGGCACCACTGGAGGTGACGGTTGCCATACAGCTCAATCGGGGAGTTCAGTTTCACCAACTAACTCCGACACCAATTCAACATGTTAAATCAGCCAAGACGGTGTCGACGGCGACCAACCGTGTCCGATCGCATCACACACTGGCATGAGGGGACGTCACAGATCCTCACTGATGCCCCGACGGCCGTAAAATCGACTTGGTGTGTTCCAGGGTTAAAGGCCACACATCAGAACTGCACCTGTCAAAAACCCGATGATGCGTACACTTATGTGTGACGTCTATAAGCTAGGTAGAGGTGTGGATGTCCTGAGGTAGGTAAACATGTGCGAACGTGTCCAGATCCTGATGCCTTACCCTGTATGTAACGCTAGCCCTTTCATAAGGCAAAAGTCTGTTTTGTTCTTTTGTGTTTTTGCTTGTGTTGCTGCCAAAATGGCTGTCCGTCATATTTAATCTCCCTAATTTTGCTAAACTTGCCTCGACTCATGCACACATGAAGAATGACACATCTCCATACATCCAACCATATATCCAATGCAGGCTGATGGAACTTTTTTACGTAATAATGGATTTTTTGTATGTAATAAAAAGAAAACACATCACCTGACAGTGCTGGGGAAGTAACTCACAGAAGTAATCCATTAAAGACAGAGGTGGAAAGATCAGGTCCAAAGAAGTACAAATCCAGACCAAGGTTTTGTTTCAACCAACCAGTTGTGCATAAAGCAGGGGTCTCCAACTCCGGTCCTGGTGAGCTACTATCCAGTAGGTTTTGTATCCTACTTGGCTTCTGATGAGCCACACTAGTTCTCAGGTAAATACCAGGAGCAGGTGTGACTCATCAGAAGCCAAGTAGGATAGAAAACCTACTGGATAGTAGTTCTCCAGGACTGGAGTTGGAGACCCCTGGCATAAAGAGTCACAGTCACAGAATTCTCAATTGGTTGGTTGAAACAAAACCTTGGTCTGGGCTTGTATGTTCCGGACCTGAACTTTCCACCTCTATAATGTATTACTTTTGTGAGTGGTTTCCCCAACACTGTCATCTGAATACTCCACAGCTTTACACAATACCATTTTAACTGAATATATGTGCTGTCTGAACAAAGTGCTCTTTGGGATCTCCTCACCGAAGAGGCCACTTGTCCTCATTTCTGCTGCAGGAGCATTGAAAGTGACAGTGTCTGGTGGTGCACAAAATACAGCTCGACATCAACAGACACATGGTATAGAAATTAAGGCCAACTCCACAGATTATCGGTAACAGCAAGGCGACTCCTACGATGAGAGTAAGGATGTGCCTCTTCATCTGACTCTGGAGGCAGCCTAGAGGTCTCACTTGCTCACAGTCTCCCTGACTCTACAGTGTACTGGGCCATGGGTCACATCTGAAGAACAGCGGTGTCCTCTGTACCAAATGTGTTATGACACTCAATACTGACAGTATAGTTGGACCCTCTGGGTTGAAGCAATAATGGCAAATTCAGGATCTTATCTCCTACAGGGTCTTAAATTAGAGGAGAGGGACTTTCCCCAGTCACCGAAGGTTATGCCGTATAAACAGATTTCTGACCCACAGCTCAGAATGTGGCTCTTTCCCTCTATAGGAGTTAGTACTTTTTTTTTTTTTTTTACATTTTT